CACCCTCTTGCGCTCTGTTAAACAGAACGGTTGTTTTGATACGACTATCCGTTGGATAGCATTTTTAACTTATTATTTGCCGCCTACTCTTTTTAACGGCAGGGTATATTGCGAAATATAACTTCAATGGTGCTGAGATACTTGCAAAACTCCGGACTGCAGGTGTCTGTGGTGAGGAACGAATGCGGAGAAGGTGAACGCGTTACTCCCTGGAAAGGACAATAACGCATTCGTTCCCCACCACAAACACTTGCCGTCCGGAGTTTTGTAAATATCTCAGCATCTTTGAAGTTATAACCGTTGGATTATTCGTTGGAAAGCAAACTACTATCAACGAAATGGTAATAGTTCCCTAGATCGACTTTCTGTCAACCTGGGCATTAGATTAAAAATGCTTTACTTTTCTTTTGTTCAGCAATCGCGAGGTTGTTATACAGCAAACGTTTACTTCCATACGAAAAACACACAACACAACAGTAGCTGACGTTTCGGCAGTATCGCCTTCTTCAGAGTCCAGAACGGCTGATTATGGTCGCATACGGTTGATGACTGCACCACTCCGAAACGTATGCTGTATAACAACTTATATGTATATACTGCATAAATACCCGCTATGAGAATTCCAAACTCTATGAAAGAGCTACAGTTCTCGATGTTCTCGTGGAGCAAGCACGAGGAGTTATTTTGTTCTTTATTCCGTTAAAGCTGACATTTCGGCGACATTGCCTTCTTCCGAGCTTGGAAGGGTGTATTCACAGCTACGCCAAGTGCTTCAATAACACATACAAAAAGATGAAAATCTGTATGGCAATCACACTATCAACAGCTTCTCGAAAAACTCATCGCTTTTTTACGTGTGCTTCAGTGAGGGAGGAAAGAAGCTGATTGTTGTCGCATATGGTTGATGACTACATGATCTCACACCAAAAGTTGATGCGAAGATAGAAGGCCAGATCGCGTATGACCTCTGGGTAATGCTCATTGCTATTCCTTGCTTGGTTCTTAGTATTTATCCAAAAATCTCCAAGTTCGAGCGCTGGTGTTTTGGTATCCTGTGCGAGGATAGTTATCGGCTCGCACACGAAGCAGATCTGTACAAAACGGAATACTGGTTTTTGTCTATAACCTATCGCTTAGTATGAGCAATTCGAAAGTTATTGACGACATATATAGAACGATGTAACATATTTTCCTTAGTGATGCACATATTCTGTATTCATCAAATCGAATGGTAGAGGAATTAGTGATAAACATCACAAATGGAAATACTTAACAGAGGCCAATTTTTCGACGAGTTTTTCTCGCAAAACTTTCCATGCGCGAACTAATAACAGGTAGGAAAAAAACTGTTAAATGCTGTGCATGTTTCTTAAAGTACTATGACAATGCGCCACCGAGGCCCTTGTTTAGTCTTCGGTTTTAGCCTAACGGTGCTATTAGCAATCCAAAAAAATCAGCTTCAACAGAATGGTCTAGAGAGCCCAAGTCGCATTTCACCTAGTTATGTTAAAGCTGCAGTCAGAATCACAGTGTTTACCTTTTATTTGTTACCTATTATTTTCTCAAGGAAGGGTAATAGCGGTTTCGAAAAGCACCTGAGGCTACGAGTTTCTCCTATCTCAGCATATCTATGGTTGCATTTCAGAGCATCCTTTGCTATGAAAAAATATTGGGCAGCAAATAAAACTTAAATATTATACCATGGTTAAAGCACAAAATTTCATCTACAAAAAACCACCATGGTTATGCATTTCTTATTCACAACGCTCGTGTTGCCATTAATTGTCCTTTTACCGAAACATTGCAACTTTAAAACAAATAATGTATGGATGTTTTTCAGTTGAGCCTGATTTTAAAAGGCTCTGGAGTTCTGGGTACACTTTAGAACCGACAACAAAATGAGTAACCCCATTATAGTATACGAAGTGGATAGAACTAATCAGCCATTCTTTAACATTCTCATAACAGTCGTCTTCTCAACAGGTACGTGAACGATACCACGAAAATAATAGCAGAACACTTTTGAATCAAACCAATATCAAAGTTTTTTGTTGTTTAGTCACACTAAGGACCATCAAAACAACCATGAAGAACCTTCTTTCTAAACAGCTTACTTCGAACGTGATTACAGTCTTCTTCTTGAGCCGTTTAAGTAGAGACATTGTGGAAGAGATCACAGACAACAACTTAAGCAAAGACTGATCTGGTTGAAGATGGCCAAGTGAGCTTGTTATTGATCTCGCAGTGCAGCTAGCTCTCAAACTTGAGTAAGTAGGCTTTTTATAAGCAACATAGTAAAGATATGGTGATATTAACAAATGTAGGTGCGGAAACTTTAAGTAACAACGGGAGCGATGTGCAAAGACGCCACAAAGAGCAAGGTTCGCTAGAAAAAAAGTGAAGAAATGCCTACGTAATATAAGGGAAAGAGAGATGTTATGCATCACTTGCTAAAAAACATTATAGCCAGGTGGAAGATCAATAGGACAGAGGAAGGAATGGGCTGACAGATCACTTAATGATTCGTCAATTGTTCGCCATTGAGTGAACCTATATGAGAGGCGATCTTAACACAAACTGGGCGCTACTAGCAGATGCTTATTTGTCGGTTTTATCGATAACAACGAGATTAGGATAAAGGTCTCTTGCTCAAGTAGAAGGGCTTAAATTTTTGGATAACAGGATGAAACTGCTTATGCCACTCACGTTTTGAAGAGTGGCTTCCTAACAAACCAAATATCTTTGAGCAGACTACGCAGCCTCCACGCAAGAGGCGGATAGCACAATTGTCGCGATGTCCGCCATCACGAGCACGGTACTAATTCGATTCCGCCCCCGGCCACCCAAGCTTCTCATCACTCCGGCTTAAGGAAATTGGTACCACCAGACTTCTCCGAGAAAGAACCATTCCCTGCAATCCAATTGAGAACGCTTCTGCCCGGCTATGTCAGGACTCAAGGAAGAATCGACTCGACCGGTATTCTACCACATTCAAGATGAAATGAAAATCCTCAAGCAGCATCCGAAGTTACACGCAAAGTGGGAAGATTTTCGTGGAAAATGGATGAGAGGAAACGAATCGAATGTGAGGAGTGCTGGGATCCGCACGGAAGAGGTGAAGATGGGTCATATAAAATAAAATAAAATATGTACGCACCATAATCATATTGTAGTACTGAAGACTATTGCCATGTGTCAATCCCACAACAGAACAATTTTATTCCAACAAAATATATCAATACGTGACTCATAATCGCAGCACACAATACTTACAAAACCGTAGATCAATCACTAAACAACTTCCTTATCAAAAATGTTGGACAGAAAAACAAATTATACAAGCACAAACAAACACAGGATGGTACACCGTGGACATTTGGCGACACCCCACTATACAGTATGTATATCATCAGCCAGCGAGAATACAATGTTATTGTCGGCATCACTCAAAACTGATAGTTGACTTACAAAGTTTATCAAGCGTCTCAACATACAGAGATGGGGAGCCGACACACACGCACACACGCACACACACACCTACATGTACATCCATACATCGAAATTCATCCGAATTCAAATACATCCACAACTATATATACACACACACACAACACACATACAGACACACACATACATACACACACGCACACATACACAAGACGCGCACAGAGATAGACAAACCTAAATACACATACCAGACCTAGATCTACATATGGAATCAGCCCTGCAATTTCGAACTCGTTAAAGAACAGACTGGTTGTGGAAGCTTATCGAGTAGTGTGAAACGGTACAGGAACATTGGCTAAAACACCATGCGACGCTGTTGGCATCATTGGTCAGAAATGAGTTAAAATTTCATTAAGAGCTGGTGGAAATCATAAGGAATATGCAGACTTATATTTTTACTGGTCCCATTGATGGTTATCATCCATCTCTTAAACTACATTTCCAATCAAAACTCCATCTAGTTAAACGTTGATGAATGAACACATAACGCTCGAGGTGTATGGGGTGAAATGCATTTGATGCAAAAGTAATGGCCGCTTTCAACCATAAACCAACATATCTGCTCATATTAAATAAACCTTAGTAGTTTGAATAAAAAGGTTTATAATCTGCAGATCTTTGCCTAAGAAACAGGTTATCTCATTCCATCAGTTCGAAATTCTGACTCTCTGGAGGCCGCAACACATGTTTCCTAAAATTTTTTACCTCAGGACTCCCATTTTGAACATGAAAGCAAGTGAGCAAGCAAGATTTCGTCAAGTAGGGCACGATTTTGTACATACCGCTCTCGCGATGGAAGCTCTAAAACTTTAAACTAGACGCACAGCTTTCTTTTCCGAAAACATTAATTCTAAACATATTTCAGGTTGAGAGAGTATTGTTAAGACGACACAGCAAAGTCTTTTTTCATAAATCTGAACAGCTCTCAACTCCTCCAATACTACAGTGAGCGAGAAATCATCGACAGAGAAAACTATCCTCGGGTGTTATGTGTTGAGAAAATGAAAAACGGAAATAGCGTTTATGCTCGTTCGGACGAGCTTTTAGGAAACCGGATAGTTCGAGGCGCTTACATCTAACAAGAGACGTTGTTCAAATTACTCGACAAGGTTAAACTTGTACGACCCGAAGCACAGGAATTATTCGGACCACGACGCAACCACACCAACAAAAAATTGTAGAGCTATTAGTAACAACGCGTACTACTGTAGTCTAGGAACGAAAAATACAAAAGAATAAGAGCCCTCAAAGCAAAACAAACTCGTAAAATGTAAGGTACTCTAAAGGACTAGACATCTAGGGAAATACATTGAAAATTTACTTTGTGTACAAAAAACGGTTTGATGAGGAAGGACACCATTATACAGATAGAAATTGGCGTTTCAAAACGTGAATAAATTGGCGAACACGGTAACACCATATTTCAGGAAAAAATCTGCTACATACTAAGATAGTCATCTGCAACAGTTACGGTATCAAATTCGCGGACGACCTTAGCACTTCGCCGGAGGGCGGCCATGTCCAATAGGGGCGATTTTTGATGGGATAGCATGTTGTGCTTTAATTAGGCCCAATGCCACCGCTTTTTCAACGGGAAGCTAGAAAATGACCGCGAAATTGAATGCCTCAATTAGACAGCTCCATCGTACTACTAAGAACGTACTTGTTTATGTGGGAAAACGGCAACATGACATTTGATACATGATTGTGCTTCGTTGGCTACCGAATTTTGACTGGTCCATTTACGTTTGCATTGTTGACACTGAAAAAATCAGCTCTTTAGAGAAATTCGTATTATTTTTAAAGCCATAACAATAGTCAGTGATCAACTGAATCGTACTCCTAATTTAAGCTAATAAATCTTAACCCTCCCAAAGGTTTACACCGCCTCATCGTGGCTGGGTGGTGTTCCTGGGTGTAGGACTGCAATGTACAGTGGGGATTCATCCCTTGGTAGGTTCCCCTAAGTTGAAAAAAAAGTCCGGCGTTTCCATCAGAAAGCCTATTTGAGAGTAAACCAATACCAGGATCCACCACCGTCCTGGTATCAAAGTCGAATAGTGGGAAATCTCCCTTTGATCCACAAAGGCTGCGACTACTTGTGGTGGTGGAAACCTGGGGCAGACTTTGACCAGGCTGACCTCGGAATTCCAGGAAACCACAATGGTTTAACCAGCAAATCTCCGAAAAACAGAGATTATGCTGAGGCCCGCACAACCAGTGAGGACGGGCTATTCAAGTATCAAGTATCAAGCAATAAATCTAAACAACGTATAACCGTATGCGTTATGTACTCAATAACAATGGTTCATGACATTTTTTGAAAGTCCGTTTCCATCAACGTACCTGGAACTCCCCATAGCATTTCTTCCGTCCTTGATATGGTGTCAGCTCATCGTATGGGGTACTGAAACGCTGAAACACACATATTTCCTTTTATATCGAGCACAACCATTTCTCTATCAACAAGAGCAAATTTGAAAATTATTACATGAGTTCTGGGACGTTCAACTAACACACATTTACATGCCCATGTCCATCATAATCGAAATATTTCGCTAAACAACAGTTACTGTTATAAAACTCGGCGTACCTGTTCAATGTATCTCGCTGCTTCATCCCTCTTATCCTCCCTCATCCTCGATGCTCGCAAATGAGCACAGTCAAATTACGAGTTTCACACACCTATGTTACTTTTCTAATAAGTAGATCCGAGCCTTCCATCGTTTTTTCTCTGTACAGAATATTCATTTCGCTGTGGTACACACTTCGAATGATGTCTCTACGATCTGTACACACTGTAGTTGTTCCATGATCCAACATCACCAATCTCACAAACTAAATCTGTCCCCCCAAAAAGTCACAAAGTAGTCACTACAACGTAACTGTGGAAGTAGCCTGACAACCACACATAAATTTGGCCTGTACATAAGCCATATTTTGGCTTAAGGCAGGTAAAAATTTACCATTTAGTAGCATACTTAGCAATACAGACTTCATTTCGAGGAAGGCATAGCGTAGTGGTTAGTGATGCCGTCGATCAGGGAGCAAAAGCATTACTTCGATCACCGTCCTAACTCTCTCATCCAATCCACGTCAAGACGCTTTAGCTCGGTTATCTGTACGACTCTAAGGAGAATGGACTCGACTAGCACATTTGTAAAGAAGATAAAATCCGCGAGCAGCCGAAACAACAGGCGAAATGTTCGACGCCCGCTGTGAACGATGAATGCGAGAAAAATGAAACGAATGCAAGGAGTGCTGGGATCCGCAAAGTAGGATGTGATGACGGGTCATGTAAAGAAAATAACAAAAATAGTCTCCGTTTCAATAGCACAAATAAATATTCATTCAGCAGTACAGTAAGTAGTAAATAGTGGCACACATACCATACATACTCATAGAATGATAGCGCAATGTCTCTTCGACAACCCTGCCATGTACAAAATACTTCGAATCCTCTATTTATTGCGAGTAGATTGTTTGTCGTCAAGAAACCAGAAAGCCCACAGCCGACGAAAAGTTGCGCGTAGTCCGTCGGGCTAGCCACGCAATACGGTAGCCGGAGCGGAATGTGTTAACAAAGCGTGAAAAGAACGAACAATATCGTGTATACTCGGTGAAGTTGTGAGTAATAAACAGCTGCAAAAATTCATCCTGTACGTAATTTTGAGCTTAACTTTTAATGAAAAGTTTGCCTCGACAAACTTCCAACAGAATTTAAATCACGGTGATATAAAGCTGGTTAAAATAGCACTTTCAAGATAACAAATTAATATAGTTTTAACTAGCTGAGAGAAAGGCGAAATGCAGGACCTACACACTGTGGTGCTGAACGCGGTAGTCTCCGGAAACAGCAATGACATGTTCGATCCCCACCGCCTACAACTGCGGTCCAAGGTTTTGCAAATATCTCAGCATCATTGTGGTTGCAATATTGTTTCATTTCATGAGTTCGAACATCGCCGCTCTCACAGAACCTCATCAAAGCATAGGGCCTAGAAGACCTTCCGAACGCATAGTGTGGCGATAGTTCCGAAAGTTTCACATTGAAGAAACAAATCTCAATGAGAAAAAAGTTCGAGGGTGCTATTCAGTCCATATTTGAATCGACGATCGTCTGAAGATGACAATCGAAGCTGGCCTTTGAAAAGCCACTTAAGAAGTTGAAGAAGGTTCACTAAATGTAGTGAAATCAATAATCACAATGTCAACCTTTTATTTACTGCCTACTACAATTTTTTACGGCAGGGTATTATGTGAAATGCAACCACAAAGATCCTGAGACATTCGCAAAACTCCAGAACGTATGTGTTTACGGTGAGGATCGAACGTGCTAACTGCTCATCATTTAGAAGACACCGGATGGTGAAATAGTTCGATGAGCATGGGTGCCACACGAGTTGAATGAGGTGCAGAGAAACGTCGCCACGCAAAAAGGAACCGTTTATCTATTGCGTTAAGATGTAGAATGATAGATTACCCTACAAAACAACTTACGTCTTTCACCACAATGTTTGAACCAAAATGAGGCCCCTCTAAACATCCTAAAAAACCTACTGAAACCAAAAGACAGTTGTAGCAACTGTTTCACGGCCTTGAGTCTGAGTAATCTGCCATTAATTTTTGAACGCTGGTGAAATGATCAAAGAAGTAAATCATTCTGATAAAACCGATAAAGTGCATCGAAACTTGTAGTATATGCATTCAGCAATGGTTGACACTTTAAGCTCGACATGTACTGAGTACAATGCGCCATGCAAATGTAATAACCACAACCAATTTTAAACTATCATGTCCTAGCTCATACTGAACATTGTCGACTGAAATGAAAACAGTAAAACTGCACAGGTCTTTTCCTAGATGATAACAGTTCTTCTCGTTGTAAAATGTCAAAACTCTGAGTTTCTGGACTCCAGAGAACGTAGTTCTCCACCTTTCTTCGTCAACGCTGGTATTTCGATGATCCGAACAATTGAGCAGTAGCGATTCCGCGGGACAAGATGCGATATTGTCTTCAGTGTACCATTGGTGCTTGTGACTGCGGTACTTGGGTAGTTTTAAAAAATTAGACTTTTTCTGCAGTTTTCTTGGGATCCCAATTCCAAACGTGTTTAAGAATGCTTAAACAATATTTGATAAAAACTACATTTACTATGACGATGATAGAGAAAAGCCTTTCTTATAAATCTACGCAGTTCTAAATTCCTCAAATACTTTCATAGTCGAGAAACTGGTGCCAGTTATAGAAAATCGAGCTTCAGCAGCGATGTGTTAAAAAAAGGGCTTTCCTGCACAACAACTTTCGACCACAGATTGCTCAACTAAGGCTGCAGAAGTTGAGCAATTGAGCCACGAAAGAATGCCTCGTCAAACATATTCATAAGATCTTCTGTGGATGAAGCATCATCTTTTTAAGAACCCCGAGAACTACTTTTAGGACAAAATATTACAACATTTCAAAACCGATTTTCCTTTAACCTCAGTTCCTTTAAACTACGAAAACGAAATGCACAACACAATTGACACATTAATCAATATGTATTGTTTCCTTGATAAGCTTACACGAGGTTGATAAAAAATTTTTATTCGGCTAACGTCTCGACGTCTTCGTTTTCATCAGAGCCGATGATCGATTATCCGGGAAAAAAAAGTTACTATTACCGGACAATCACAGCTATCAACCATCAGCATTCTGCATAAAAGGGCATCACCGAGTGAGTATGCTTTATTCGAGAGATGGTCCGCTGAGGAAGACACAACTGGATACGAAGGCGAAGAGGCCGAATTGAGACAGAGAAGAACCGTGGACTACCGACTCGGATCATCGATCGAATCTGATCACTCTGAAGCCGAACACGCCGAAACGTTTACCGAATAAAAATTGTTTATCAACCTCTTGCAAGCTTATCATACTCAGAATACGTGTTAAAATATTACAGCAAAACGTTGCCAAAAAATTCATATTTTCCAGAACCCCAGAATACTAAACTATTCGAATCGACGAGGTTATGGATTGTTTGCAAAAATTTGTCGTCCATAAGGTCAATATTTTGACTGATAAGGCTACGCTTAATCCAAGTTATAGGAATTCAAGGTTACTATCTAAAATTGGCTATTCTTTACGACTCACTCTCCATGAAATGACGAGCCCCTCTGGAGGATTTTAAAAATGTTATTTGTCAAGAAGTACGCCAAGTTTAAATAAGCAACAACCATATTGCAATAACCTTTTTGTGTATGCTCATCATGAAAACTACCAACTTAACTTATCAACTTAGTTCACTTTGGACTATGTGCGGATGGTATGAAGATAGAAATTTACTTCCTTTCACTTACCACCGTGCTTGTCTCCAGACTTCATCCAGAATTTAACCGCATTCATCTACCAATTCACAGTTAATTCCACATACTTCGCTAAAGAACCGCGCTTCTACGCTCTTCTGCTAACACTATGGTATGCAGCACGTCTTAGAATATACTCGATTCCTCTTATTTTCTTAGCTGGTCATATGATGGTTGCGTCCTTTTTGAGAATAAAACGAGTATAATGAACAATTTACTAGAACCTACCATTGGACAGTCGGAAATATAGTGACCGGTTCGATAACAGATATGGCATTGATACTTGATGGGAGGGGCTTTTTTCGGTGAACACAACAGCTCTTCGAAACCAGCAATTTCGTCCTTACTGAAACCGTCCTCAAGTGCTAAGGGAACAGACGCACTTTCCTGAAAAGCAAAAATTTATTCGACTATACTTTCCTAAGGCTAACGAGACATACGCACCATTCCAAATGCTCGTTCGCTCTCTGCACTAATATCACATGAACGCAGAGTTCATCAATTCCTCTGCACATTAATGATATAGTTATAGAATAATACGCTTAGATATTTCTTGGAAACAACAACATGAAACAGATAAAATCTTCCAGACTGCAGAAAACGGAGAGCGACTTAAAAAGTTGCATCTGTGAGTCGCAAAGAAATGGTGATTCGAAACAAATAGTTTCCTGAACTAGAACCTGTCTAAGGTAGTGAAGTGGTTTCGGTAATGTCAAATTACAGTGTGAGCATGATATTAACCTCCATTCAGAGTTACCCAAAGTAAGAAATGTTTCGTAACAATTTTATCCGGACTATCCGTAAAGTCCCAATGTCGTCATCGTGCTGTAAAAAACGCTGCCGCAAGACAATATTCCATCGATAAAGGTAGGCAAATATAAATAACATAAGTGATGGCAAATTGGGAACGTCTTCCATCAATTGTCTCAAGGATCCGAGAGCATGGCTACTCATTCAGTCAGAAATATAAGACAAATGGAAATTGTGGTGTAGACCGACCAAACGCCTGATAAATTGAGTGTTCAGTATAATATGTTTATCCAAATATTTTCCTTACTTGCAATAACCAGCCGGTTAGTCGGGAAGCTAGGGGATACGTCGTTAGATTGTTGAATACGGAGGTCAATCACGGACAGAGACGACATACAATATATATCTCTCAGAGGCAACAGGCACGTCCATAAAGGTTTTCGAGCATTTCACGTGTTGTTTCTATTGATACTTGAAAATTTTGTCTTCCTTATGAATACCGTAGAGTGTTGGTCGATTTGATTCTCCTTGAAACCTTGGAGCTAGCCGGGATTGACGTGGATTGGAGCAAAACGTTGGGGGAGGTGGTCGAAGGAAAATCTTGTTATCTGATGGACTAGATCACTTCTCACTACGCCATACAATATAATGTACTACAAGAAACCTTAGCACAGGAGGAGACGAAAGGGCTCGGAAATCTGCGATAGGATCAAGGACGAAACTAACTTTACGCATAACCAGGCGCTCGCTGATAATGGGCACTGCAGCAGTGAAAGTATATAACACGATGTTGTTTACTTTAATACATATCACCTGAACATGCATTGAATACAATGCATCTATGCGAAAATGATGGTCGCTTCTGAATTTAGACGGACATGAATAGCTTTGCTCATAGTGCTCAATAGCTTTCTATTAAATGATTCCAAAAGATGAAATTCTGATTTTCTGCATCATACTAAATATATCCCTTCATTTGTCGCTCACTGTTTCCCGTATTTTAAATAACCGAGCGATTGAATAGGTATTTGGCCCACCAAGAGACGTTTTCGTTTCCCACTATATCGGCGGTGTGTGTAGCTTTCGCACTTGCATCGAAATTTTCGAGCGTTTAAATTTCGTTCTCACTTCTTTGATAATTTAAACGTCGAACAAATTTAAAGTTTAAAGGATGCTTTTAAAAACTTATCATATGCTCGAATGGAGAGCTGAGGACCCTATAAACTGTGAAGGCCTCAACTATCCTGGCAACCGAGGAAATTATCCACAGTTACAAAAAAAACCATCTCCAGACATTGCGTTAAAATACACATTGGAACATATAAACACTTCAACACGCAGCTCTGAACTTTGCTTTCCTGCTAGCAACTCTATCTTCTTTCTATTACAGCATCAGCAATAAGTCATTGGAAACTCTTCAAACACGCTTTAATAACAAAACACATGTAGACTTCAAGGAGGTATGTCTCCTAGTCATAGACGATTTATAGTCATAGTCCTAGTCAGGAGGTCTACTACCACTGAGTTGCTCAGTGTTGACTTCAGCTTTGTCACGAAGTTTCTGCACGATAACACAATGTTTTTCGTACTCCTCGAGCGAGCAGAAAGCACTGGAGAGCTTTTGCACACGAAAGGGAACAAATCAATTCAATGGTGTCTATTCTAATCGACTGTCTCTCACCACATTTGTGAAAACTCTCAACATCTAGAGCAACTCCTATTCATTATCGGACGAAATCCTTCGTACTTTAGAAATGGCATATCGAGATTGAAATGAAAACTGGTCATTTACGACACTGTATCACAAAACGCTCTCCTAAGGTTGGCACCACATGACGTTTCTAATTTCAACGCCTCTGCAGTGAAATGCAAGGACAGCAGTTACTACGAATAGCCCCCTCTCCCTATTAATATTGGGATAGTCGTACACTTAATAGATTTGTATAAGAGCCCATGTGTTTATTATTATCTGTCGCATTCAATAAATGTCATAGGATTGATGCAGTTTAAAACACAATAAAATACAAAACAATATACACACGACGACACCAGCGGCTACAAAAGTGTAGATCGTTTTCTATCGGAAACGAATCTAATTAGGTTTCAAAGTGACTAATTGGAAATATTCGCCGTAATGTTGTGGCTGATCAGTAGGAATTGTCAGACAACATTCCGATTGATTTTCCAACAAAAGAAACCTTCATAGATTTACTTGCGACAATGCAGCCAGTTTTCAAACAGTAGTGACTCATTTGTTAATCACGAAAACAAAACGATGAGACAACTTAGCAATAACACGAGAACGGTATCATCCTATCTCAACCGTTAACTAAGGAGAAACAAACCGTAAGTTTAACCCTGTTTGGGTCTGATGATGCAAGACCAATCCCAAATTGTGCCGTCGATTCGTCAATGCTGACAATGCCGTCCGAAAACACCCGTTGAATATGCGATGGCAATGAAAGTCCTGAATAAGTTGAAATTCAATGTAACCGTAAAAAGATATGAAGACCAAAAAATGAAAAAGATTCGTACTACTATAGTTTACTGATTTAAACAGAGACCACTTAATTACACATGTACATGAATAGTAAAAGGATGAAGGATAAAGCTCTCGGTGTTGATCAATCCCTGAGGGATGCGCCATGCATTCAACTTCATTAAGTTGTTTGCAGGTGATTGAATGCATCTCTGGCCTTTACAATGACTCGCGGTGGCCTACCGATGTATCGAGCCAGTGCTGCTATCCTCCCAGATAAGTGGCACCAATTCTCCGACCCCGGATGGATGGAAGGCTTGGTGGACATAGGGCGCGGGAATCGATTCCACGTGTGTGTTGTAGGGCGCCTCCGACCACTGCGCCACACACAGTTAGTAATACATCGATAATAAACGAGTTCTTCTAATCACTTGATGACCAATTCCTAAGATAAAAGTTCACACTAAACTGCACATCTCCTGAATGCTGAACAGAAAACGAGATCGATCAACGTCTCATTCAAATTTCGCCAAACGGTCAAACAATTTTTGAAGTGCCTAATCAGTTAAACAACAAAGATGCCAAGGCAGAATCGTAAGCGAATAGAAGGGTTTTAAAAAGAGGCAAACAAACCAAATAAAAGAATAAGTTAAAAAGTACACCTCCGAACGGTTCTGCACATTGTGGACTGGCGAGTGGAGTGCGACCTGGGGATCCATACCCAGATGACGAACCACAATCATCCGATGGTATCAGCTGTGCTGAGGATGAAACCCATTGACGTGCCTTAAGCCATTTCAAGACTTCGATATAGTAAAATTGTTATCACTATTCTTTTAAAAATCATTCGCACCCATTGGCTAGTAACTGTTAATACGATGGGTATGTCTATTTCAAGTAATGGATTTTATGTGCATAGATTTTATTTCAATAACTGTAATGTCAAGGTGGAACACAACCAGTGGCCATTCGTGTGCGCAAGGTCGAAGGTTCGCTTCCCAACTTGGGTTAGCCAGGCCTAGAATTCAGTAAGAAACTTAGCAAAGATTAAATCCACACAAATTTCAGCGAACACGAAAATCGAAAAAAAAAACTTAAGCGCCACACGCTTTTTGAGGTTGATTAACATATTGACTCTTCTTCTTCTTATTCTTTCATTATCTGGTCTTTATTCCCATCACTGGAACCTGTGGTGGTGAAAATGTTTCATTTTCGCTTCACGAAAAGAAAAACCGAAAATCATTATACCATTGTGAAGACTAAGTACAACTGCCATATCTGTAAAACTAACGCGAAATTGTGAAAAGAAAAAAGGCATAAAGCCAAATTGTCTACAATGCTTACTGAATTCCCACCCATTCAATATTACAATTTTTTTCATAGCAACGAATTGAGAAGGAAAGTAATAATAAAGCCAGTAGAGAGACAGGCTAAGGACCCGTATGGTGTGGTGGTGAACGTGCTAGCCTCCGTAAAGGGTAAGATCGCGTTCGTTCCCTACCGCAGACACTGCAGTCCGGAGTTGTATAAATACTTTATCGTTGTTGCGAAAGTAATAATAGTTGACAGAATCTAAACAATCCTTATCTATATTCTACCTTTTTACGAAGAATAAATTAGTTCTCAATAAAAAATAGAAGAATTTCGGTGACAATGTTGGAATCGATTTAAATTTTGGCAAGTAACGGTAGGGGCTTTAAATTAAACATCTAAATTCGTTGGTCTGCTCTTAGAACTGAAGAACTTCAAGTTTTTCTCAAAAAGCAGTTTCGTGGCCACGGTTTCCCGGAAATATATAACATACCCGCTATACCACATAATACGTTCCTATAGCCCAAGTCGTTATCGCAGGGAATTTATTTTGGAATCGACTAAAGGACAAAAGAGTTCATTTAAAACCCGTACTCTGAAGAAAACTTCCACACTAGAGATAGAATAAAAGTCAAAAGAATTTGAGTGGGGAAGAAACAAGGATAAAGAATAGAGAGATTATTTCGCTATACTAATCAAATCAACGCTGCACAGAATTCATCTCACAAACGGAAATTCGCTGAAAAGGTGAATGTGAAGTGGAACCGTCACTGAAAATTCATTTCATTCAAGCCAGTGCCCGTTATTCGATCAAAATCGAAAAGACGAAAGTGCTCGGTGGCCTGGGAACCTGCCGAACCTGGAGACGTATGCTCGAAAATAACGGGTTCCTATTGAGCCAAACAAAACACACCTTACTAAAACCGAAACGATGGAAAACGACAAAATGCGGAAAAACAACGAAAGAAATAAAAATACCGAGCGAAAGATTGTGTGTTTCTCACCTGATCTTGCTTTGGCGACAGGCTCAGCACGTCCAGTGCCAATCTATCGTATTCGAACATGTGCGAATTCTGAAAGTTTTCAGGTGAATTCTCTAATAAAAAGGTAAGTAACAATAAGTAACAAGTCTCTAAGAAGAATTATTGTGTGGGTGCAACGACACGATATCGAAAACCAGTTTCACTAACAAATGACGCGAGTGTCGCTAAAAAGACAGTAAAGGAAACTCAGACTGCCAAACAACAGAAGCCATTGGAGGCAGACATAAACGATGGTGGAAAAGTGCGGAAAAATAAAGTATACGAAAACAGAAGAACGACGTTCACGACAACATTTACACGTGATTCCATCTTAAACAGTACGAACTTCTCTACGCGGTAAGCAAAAGTATTGGAAGAAGAGTGTAGCACCTATGGAGACAAACAAACACACGACACTTCAGTACCATGTCAAACAGAAAAAGAAAGACCCATAGTACTAACCAGTACTGAAAATATGTGCTACAAAACAAAAGAAGGAAACAGAAGATGATTAATCGATCGAAATGAGAAGCTTTTGCTTATCAGAGATTCTGCATTCCAAGTTTCCCTTACGGCGTATCAACTTGATCTTCTAAGAAAATTGCGACCAATTTTTGGGCTATTCGAAACACTCCAAGCCTTAGGAGTAAACTGGACATACAACCACCAACATGCATAAGCTTCGATGTTGACGAGGACAGCACTAGCAAGATTTTCGGGTTAATGATAATTTTGAGGAGGGAAATGTGAAAAACGTTGGAAAACACACGATAGTCAGGAAGCTAATTATCTGAAAGTACCCATTTTCCAAATTTTCCAACGTTAACATAGCAGAAAAGAACCGACGAATGAAATAGAAGGAGAATTCTCGAAAAAAAGTGGTTAATTGGAGGACCAATTGACTACGTCTTCGACTCAGCATTTCCTAGCCATTGGTAACATGATAGCATTGTCCATACGTTTTTGTTCCATACTACCTCAAAAAGCTCGTCTTTCTTTCTTCCTCTCTCTCTCTCTCTCCTTCTGTCTCTATCCCATCACTGCCACTCTTCCTCTCTCCCACTATTTCTTTTAAAAAGCATGAAAACTATCGCAATTCTTATATAGACCTTTTTGTTCCTATCATTTCTGGCAAAAGCACCTACAGGTAGCTTGCAGCCTTGACCACAGCAAGAGGAACAAAACTTTGCCTCTTCTAAGGTAGACGCACGACTTTCGATTGAAAGCCACATCGAAAGTACAGGTACAAATGTGAACCAAACGCTGTACAACAGATGCAGAATTACCACTTCTTGAATCTACAGATGTGGATTCAATTTCCTAAACAAAACTTTTAAACACGCGATGTACGTTGTAACTATCTAGAAACGTGGGTTCACTCATAGAACAGAAATCAGTTAAGAAAATTCTCGGTTCTTTAAAAGGCTACACATTACCCTTGTCCAATTCATGCTTGTCCCAGAATTTTCTAAGGCTCGTAATAGTGGATGTCTAGGGCAGTGTTCACTCGATAGGTCTTGAGGGCAACCGGAGGACGACTTCCGTTAGAGATTCGGTTAAGAGTGATGTCAAGTGCACAGAAATAAAATCACCGACTCCATGGTCGAAATTCTTTACAGGGAACTTGGAAGAAAAATATGATATTCAGCGAGTGCCTGGACTGAACAGAGGGCATTGGGTTGTCCTTGCACGCGACAGGGACAATTGTAGATTTCCAGGCACTCGCTGGAGTTACTCGATGATTAACAAGAGTGCAGGTGCTATACGTTGCGTTTCCAGAAATAAACAGTTGCAAAGGTTATATTAACACGGGTTACAGAATATATGTGTGATATGTCGTAATAATGATGGTGAGCTAATGAACCGTTCACGAGAAAAACGATATGGAAAGTTAAATAACTTTGATAAACGATATGGTGCTGATTAACTGATTCATACAAAGAGAATCGGGTTTCAAAGTTTCGATCTCCACAGAACGCCTGGCATCGGCAGTTCAGAAAAACAGATATTGGAAATGAAACGCCAATGGATAGTGGGTTAGTCATGGACAGTGGACTACGAGCATCAATGACAACGAATGAATAAAGCACAGTTTAGAATGGAGTTTTAAAAAACGCCATTAATGGCAGTCTCTGACGAGAGGAACACAGCTCCCTAGTGCGTTTACTGATATCCTCACTTCAATCTGTGCCTCAAAATAAAAGTTAGAAACTGAGCGATGGGCTCAGACTTGCATATTCCTGACGACGGCGTTTTCTTGCATATGAACATCTTTCGGTCTTTTAACGGGATTTCCATAAAACTCCCAGTACCTTCCACAAAAATGGTTTTCCTAGCTTTTCCAATATTTATTTTGAGATCCTCTTTAAGAGATACTAGAATTTTTTTTGACTGACCGCTTAAATTTCTACATAAGTGATGGTTAAGATGAATAGAGATTATTTAAAAATTTAAATAAGTTTCTTTTTCAAAGTTTCACTACACTTAATAATAATTTTCGGAAATAACTAGAAGCGACCAGTATGGAGACGACAGAGTGAAGCAGTTATAGAGAACGTGAGCCACAATTGAGTAGAAAAAGGACAAATACCCATAAAACATCTGCTGATGCAATGACTCAGATAGATTCACTAACATCTACGAGTCCTAATGGACCTACGATACCCACTACAATCTGGATTAACTCAGTCATAATTGAATCGAAGACCAATAAAGGACAGACATTAAACATTCTGTTTTGAACAGCAATACATTTTGTTTCCTGCCCTCAATTGACAGCCAACACGTGGAGGCTTACGATGAGACGAATAGTACCGTGAGCAGAGTTTCATTTATGAAGTAATGATCAACGTGAAGTCTCATCCGAAAAATGTAAAGAACACGACGATTCAGATGCATAAAAGTAGAATAGGAAAAGAAAAACAGTAGTAGGACCCGCACGGTGTGGTGGTGAACGCGTTACTCCCCGAAAAGGACAATGGCGCGTTCGTTCCCCACCTTAGACACCTGTGGTCCAAAGTTTTGCAAATATTTCAGCAATATCGTGGTTGTATTTCGCTTAGTAACTTGCCGTGAAAATTGTAGTAGGCAGAAAATAAAAAGTAAAACATTGTGATTACAAACAGTAGCTTCACTACTAGCTTTGCATTCTTTCGCTTTATCAGCGTCACACCAAATTTACCCTTCAGAATAGTTAAATTCGACTAAAATAACCAGGAATAACCTCCGCTTTTAATAAGGATAACTTAAGACCTTAAAAGAAATTTTTTGAGACGAAAACTAGGCGAATATGAATAGTTGTCGTAATACAATAGTATCAGAAGAAGTGAAAATCAATAAACAAAACGAACAATTGACCAATGGTCGCGATTTTTACTCTGATATGGCCCGAGAAAAAGTTGAGAATGATGACGTCTAGAGTCGGTGCCGCCGAGTGGCGTGGAATAGAACTGTCGTCGGCCGCTCATTCACATTGAGAAAATAGACAGCGAGAAAATATGCGATGTTTAAGGAGAGAAACGAGCCTAAAAACGGAAAAATCTGAAAAGAAAGTACTGAGGTGCTGCGATTAGCTCAGCGGATTCATACTGACCGACACTGATCGTGCTACTCTGCTAAGTGAGCATGAAGGAAATCCTTTGAGGGGCTTTTTTTCGCTGTGCTTAACTCTCTATAATATTGTATACGACTCGATGATGAGATTTGACCTTCTATATTCCGAAGACGAACATAAAGACAAGTTCATGACTTCAGCATTGAGTTAAAGGGAGACAGATCAGAGTAGCGATTTGATAATGTAATTATTTCAGAGAGGTAAACGATTCGGCGAAAAGCCTCACTTAGTTTTCAATTTACAAAACAGACACCCATGACAGGACTTGGGATAATTATCGTATTAAGAAAGAGAAGACGTTAGGGGCAAAAACAATAGAATACTAGAAGGTCCTCCAATAATATGACCCAAACAAGAACGGCTTCAAAATGAAGTTGATGAAAAGGATGATTAATGATTATTGAGACAATCAATACGAAAACATTTTGTTACATAACATGGTATTCTATTTGAAACTGTACAATACACAGAAATCGTGATTGGAAGCTGAGAAAACCATATTAATTCAAATATTCCACGAACGATAGACCAAAGTTGACATGACGCTTGTAAAATATTAGGACACATAAAACGTAAGGTTCAAATCCATGAGATAGGAAAAGTTCTTTTCCTGATGCTTCGTGTTTTCTCATCAACAAAAATTTAGATCTTTATAAACAAAAAGAATATTATGATAATACGTCTTCACACATCGCCGGTCCTGGTCCACACTTCATTAAAACTCGTATATAATGCTGAGACATTTGCAAAACTCCGCACCGCAGGTGTATGCGGTGGGGAACGAACGCTCGCTGTTGTCCTTACCGGGGAGCAGCGCACTTCACCACCATACCATCCGGGTCCTTCGTTTTGCCTGTCTCTCAGCTAGTTCTATCGATCCTTTTGCCATCAGCAATCACCCGTCAACGGGATTGATCTGGGGAGCCCAAATCGGCATTGAATCCAGTTAAGCTAAGGCTTAGTTATAATCACAATCTTAACCCTTTTATTTACTGCCTTTTTCTTTTTAAACTGGCCGAGAGACAGGCAAAACGAAGGACCCGGATGGTGTGGTGGTGAAGTGCGCTGCTCCCCGGTAAGGACAACAGCGTGCGTTCGTTCTCCACCGCATACACCTGCGGTCCGGAGTTTTGCAAATTTCTCAGCATTATATACGAGTTATATTTCGCAACATACCCTACCATTAAAAAGAAAAAGGCAGTAAATAAAAGGGTTAAGATTGTGACTTCATTAAGAATTGAACAGCCGAATTACCAATAATAAATGTGCGGTTTTTCGAGGCAAAGATGCTGCCGGTAAGATTCAGATGATTTATGGAGGTCGACGTTTGTGAGGAAAAAAGGGAAAAAGGGGCGGAACGAGAACAACGAGTCAATGGACGTGGGTCAGCAGTGTCGACGACGACTCGGGACTCTTCTGCTTCTCGGAT